TGAACCTCTGTCCTGCGTGGTAGTGAGAAGTGATACCACCCTCAGTGTCAAGACCTGACTGAATTACTCAGAATAGGCAAACTGTACTACAAGCTCTGCCAATAAATTTGTTAAACTAAAACTTCCTTTCCTGCTCTTTCTACTTTTCCCCCATTTTGTCCTCCTCCTCCTCTGTCCCCTCCTTATCCTCCACTTTGTCCTCTTCTCCTTATCCTCCACTTTGTCCTCTTCTCATTCTCCTACTTCTATTCCATTTCTGTCATTTCTCTTCTTTGCTTTCTGCTTCATTTTTTTACCACTCGAAGGTCAGGTCAAAACTTTTACCTCTCATGAAATTCCTCATTCTTCTTCTTTCATCTCAAAAATTTAATCTCCTCGGGCATTCTCTCTTTACCATCACCACTACTGAAATTTATCAAGTATGTATGTATGTACGTATGTATGTATGTATGTATGTATGTATGTATGTATGTATGTACTGTATGTATGCATGTATGTATGTATCTATGTCCGGTTTAATGTCAGAAATTGTTGATAAGTCAATTTACTCGGTCTGACGTTATCCAGAACACACACACACTATATATAGGTCTTAAGCAATGAGAGTTAAGGAGAGGTGACAGGCAGGAGGTAGTGGTGCTGAGTTACATGATGCAAGTTAACGTCAGAAACATAGACTCGCTGATGTTGTTTATGGGCCACGATTTGTATCCTTGTGGTCCATCAGTTATTATTCTTATTCCCTTCTTCTTCTATTACTACTTCCTACTCCTACTTCTCCTCCGTCTCCCTTCTTCATTTCCCCTTCTTGGTGCGCCTTTTCATAATCGTTTACCTTTTATCTCCTTCTCCTTTTTTTTCCTTTTTCTTTCTTCTCTTCCTTTATTTTCACCTTTTCTTGATCAGCTATTGTCATTTATTTTTTACTTATCTATCTATCTATCTATCTATCTATCTGTTTGTCTGTCTGTCTGTCTGTCTGTCTGTCAGTCTGTCTGTCTGTCTGTCTGTCTATTTGTCTGTCTCTCTGTCTCCCTCTGTTACATTATACATCGCCCTGGTCACGTATACTCCTCACTCTCCTCCCAAGAAAATCCTGGGGAATTCCTCGTAATCAAGGAACCTGTACAGGGGGCTTGGGAAGTCACCTCTCATCCCACACTAATTGGACTAGCGCCTCTGTAACCTCCTGCTAGAAATATCCCTCAAAATCATAATTATACTAAATATTCTCAGTATTTCAGAAAGGTGTCGTCTTGAATACATTATTATCGCGTAGTTTTATTAAAGGAATTTATTCAATCTATTTATTTCATTGAATTGAAAGTTTAAAATTATCTTTCCTGTTCATAAAAAGAATTAATTAGAAACAGAAATAAATCATGGACGGAAATGTTCTGTTTATTTCTATAATCAAAGTTAATTATTGAATTTGACTGAAATATTTGTCTGGAAAAATGTAAAGGGTGAACGAATTAGAATCCAGAGTTTGTTATTTAACCATTTAAAATCGGGTTATTATTCCTCGATGATGCTACATATATATTTTCAATATATAGTTATTACGCGTGTATTTTATATATATATATATATATATATATATATATATATATATATATATATATATATATATATATATATATATATATATATATATATATATATATATATATATGCGATGGTATATATTCACTGTCTTTTGGTCTTTTGATGTTGAAATGCAGTAATGAACTTTGAAAAAACTGTAAAAAAGTAATAGAATTATAGACTCGTAACATTATTTCCTGGTCGCTGGCATCAAACACTCTTTCAGTTTGGTGATTAATATGTTAACATGGAGTGTTTCTGATGTTACCATGAGAGTAAAAACGATAGAAATGCTTCTGTATTGATAAACACATGTCCCAATTAGCCTACAACAACAGCAAATAAATGTAGATGACCCCAATAACACCAATAACAGTTCACACCTACTTATAGAATTACCACAACGACGTACAACAAAACACAACCTCAAAATATGCTTCAGTGACTTGTAATTATTACCACAACCAAGAGCTTATAACAACAATCACAACCACAATTTCAACCATCGGGTATGTTTACACATTACTACTTGGGTAGCAACGAAGCTGGGGGAATTTGCTCAGCTCCCTCCTTCCTGTCATAGTCTCTCCCTCCCTCCGGCCAACCTCCCTCCCTTCAACCACCCTCCTACACTCACTCCCTCCCTCCGGCCACACCCCCCCCCCACACTCCTCACCAGCAGGGGGGGAAAGGCCAGCTCACTACCTTGACATTTAAGCCCCTAACACCTTCCCAGTGACTGTATCTTACCTCTACAGATCAGGACGCCCGAGGGAGTGTCTGTCTGTCTGTCTGTCTGTCTGTCTGTTGCTGATACACTTCATAGCTTAACCATATAATGTTCTTTTGAGGGTGTGGTCAAATATTTTTTTTGTATATTTGTACTTTATAGCTTAGCTGAAATGGTATGTACTTTACAAGGGGAAAAGATAACTATTTATGTATCGTTGTATCTCGTAGCTTAATTATATCAAGTATTTTTTTTTTATTGGAAGATTTTGTGTGGAATTCATAGCTTAATGGATTTCTCTTTTTTTCAGGGAGGAGATATTTTGTTGTATACATCATATTGCTTAAGTGAACTAAACTTTTCCTCAGCTATATATGTGTGTGTGTATGATATTCTTACATCCATCCAGTTAGACAACATTTACTGTATCTATTTCGTCTTTTATCTACCTAATATGATAGAGATACGAAAATAAACAAATGAAGACAAATTAGACAGGTATAAAAGCTTTATCCACTTCGGTCAATAACACGCACTCAAAACATACTCAAGACACACTCAAGACATACTCAAGGCACAGCCTTGGAAGAAACGAGATGAGGTTACGGACACAAGATTGACTCACTGACCTTACACAGTAATCCAGCACTAACCAGAGGCCACAAAGAGAGTTTATCAGGGAGGACTGTGATAAAGATTGTGTCTAGTGGGTACAGTGCCCACCATCAGCAAAGGTTAAAGGTTACAGTGAGTAATGGGACTACATATCACTAGATACAGCATAGTGTTACAGAAGGCAATCCAGTGACCTACGCCCCCAAAAATATAATCACGATTTTAGCTTTACATTCTTTGTATTGTGTCTTGGCAAAAACAAAATATAATAATAATAAAAAAATACCACTAATTTTCCTCAGTTTCTCACAGAATGAAATAATTTAATACAAGGAACTTCGTGTAAGGGAAATAGATGCCTTTGTGCCTGATGACAGCTGGGCGGTAAAGACCATTATTTTAGCAACATTCTTGGAAAAACTGTACGTGTCTATCAAGTGACTCGATCTGGTTATTATTAGATGTTACGAGAACAGAAGCCAATGGTTTAGATTCCAGTAAGGAAATTGAAAGTGTAAAAACAGAATTTGATGTAAGAATTCAATTATAAACAAAAAAGGTGTTTTAGAACGCACAGCTACCAGTTAATGGGAGTTACCTTGACTGTAATGAATTGTAACCTATTTACCTGAATCACAGACACACACGCATACACACACATACACACACACACACACACATTATTATTATTATTATTATTATTATTATTACACACACGTCAGATACAGCCACTTACGGTGGGGAAAGGACAATAGAACTCGTGATTGACTCAGCTTCCGTATTGAATGAATTGTAGAACTATTGTCCTCGTCCTATTTATGCACCTAATTGATTATCTATGTCAAGTACTTCTTTCTGGGAACTCATTAGTCTTCTCTATACTCATTTATCATACTGGAATCTGTGTTCATTTGCTTCCGCTTTAGTGTTTGTACGGAACAATTGCAGGGTACATGGTGTGTATGTGTGCGTGTGTGTGTGTGTGTGTGTGTGTGTGTGTGTGTGTATAACTGTGCCTTGTAGGTAAGTAAGTAAGTAAGTGTTAGGCAGTAAGTGAAGGCCCCGTCGTCCACGTTGTTGGGTGCGGTGGCCCAGGAAACATTCCTAAACCATATAAATAAGACAGGTGCCGCATTAAGATATCTGGAGGTGTGTGTGTGTGTGTGTGTGTGTGTGTGATCTAATGTGCGTGTATATGTATATGTGTGATCTTTTGTGAATGTGTATGTATGTGCGATCCTTTGTGCTTGTGTATGCGTGATCCCTAGTGTGTGTGTATGTGTATGTGTGATCCCTTGTGAGTGTATGCACATGTATGTGTGTGTATATATGTGTAATCCGTAGTGCGTATGTATGTATGTGTGTGATCCCTTGTGCGTGTTTATGTACAGTATGTGTGTGATCCCTTTAATGTATGTGTGTGTGTGTGTGTGTGTGTGTGTGTCTGTATTTTTACGTGAATGTATGTTTACTTGTACGTAAATTACCTATAAGTGACTATCTTAACACACATCTCTGTTTTTAGTTTCATGCATTTCACCATGTCTACAGTAATCTAATTTCGTATCAAATCTGCTCTTGTTAAGATATTTCAAACACACATATATTATCAGGTTTGTTTGTCATCGAGATATAAGACTCCTTCGATTCCTATCCTATATGTGCCTCGTCAAGTATTATAATATTAACAAAAGTAATCAATAAAATCAATACTATAATTTACTGAAATAGGCTGAATATCGTAAATCTTACATAACGTAATCCTGTCAGTAATGTTACTCGATCAATAATTATTCTGAAGTCACACATCAAATCTAAGATCACTACTTATCATCGCTGAGCACTGAACACCACCAAAACACAAACACACACACACAAACACCTCACCACTCCACATCACGTTTAGTCTCCACACCTAAGACAAACACAATCTATAAACACAAGTTAGTTTTCCATTAATTCCACCACCACAACCACCACCACCATGAAAATCCATAGATGAACACCAGGAGCCACATAGAGGTGGTGGTGGTGGGAGGGGCTCGTCATGGTGTTTCGGGCGACTTACTTGCAGAGCACGACGCATGTCTTCAGTCAGGAGGGGAGCGAGACACTACGAAACTCTCTCCCGCCCTTACTGCTTAAATGGCGTGGACGGGACGGGGTGTGTGTGTGTGTGTGTGTGTGTGTGTGTGTGTGTGTGTGTGTGTGTGTGTACGTGCGTGCGTGTGTCCGTGCAGGGTAGCCAGGTGTGATCGCGTGCGTACGACCGTGAGCGGAACAGGTGACCGCTGCCCAAAGGGATTCTGGTCAAGTTTCACTTTCGTTTGTCCGATAGTAAGAGGGTGAGGCAGTGTCTGTCACATGTTTTCGCTCGGGTATGGAACGAATCATTTACTCTCAGTCTCATTCACATTATGCATAAGATTGTTGAAACATTTACAATATACATCAGCTTTTATTTTCTATTCAATCACTCTGAATATAATTTACGTCAGATTTAGCAAATTAGGAATTCTACAAGAAAGAATTTTGATCATAAGACTTCAGATTAAATTTATACCATCGTCGTTTCGTCTATAAGAAATGAAACTATTTATATTCAAAAACAATTATTATAACTCACATTGAAGAATTTGATCGTAAACATACAACTATACTTGAACGAATTCCAAAAACTTTTCCAAATCAAACTTTATTTCCCGTATCTCTAGACCCCGAAATTACGCAACTACGATACCAAGGTCATTAATGAGATAAAAAAAACACCTTTGCCTTACCTTTCAGTTTTTGTAGTGTTAGCCCGAGGATGAAGGGTAGTGTCCCTCCTTCCCACGGCGACCTTCACTGACCACACCCTATCACTGGCCATATGTCGACGACGGCCACTTGTCTGCTATGGATAAACGTCTTATTTGGTCACGGGTCCTAACAGTGTACAGTAATATTGGTATAAGTATAATACGATCACATGTTTACTCGGCCACACACTGTAGTTTCACACCTATTATGGCCACATACCTAGTGTAGCCTCACACCTGTTATGGCCACACACTTATTGTGGCCACACACTTATTGTAGCCACACACCTATTGTAGCCATACACCTATTGTAGCCACACACCTATTATGGCCACACACTTATTGTAGCCACACACCTATTATGGCCACACACCTATTGTAGCCACACACCTATTATGGCCACACACCTATTGTAGCCACACACCTATTATGGCCACACACTTATTGTGGCCTCACACCTATTGTAGCCACACACTTATTGTAGCCACACACCTATTGTAACCACACACCTATTGTATCCACACACCTATTGTAGCCACACACCTATTATGGCCACACATTTATTGTGGCCACACATCTATTGCAACCACACACCTATTGTGGCCACACTCCATTTGTGGTCACACACCTATTGTGACCACAAACCGATTGTCGCCACACATCTATTGTGGCCACACATCTATTGTGGCCATACATCTACTGTGGCCACACATCTATTGTAGCCACACACCTATAGTGACCACACCTATTGTAGCCAGACACCTATTGTGCTCACATCTCTATTGTGCCCACACTCCTTTTGTGGCCACAAACCTTTTCTGGCCACGCACCTATTGTGGCCACACACCTATTGTGGCCACACACCTATTGTGGCCGCACATCTATTGTAGCCACACACCTATTATTACCAACGCTTATTGTGGTCACACACCTATTGTGGCCTCACATATATTGTGGCTACACAAATTGTGGCCACATAATTATTGTGGCCAAACACTTATTGTTGAAACATACCTATTTTGGTCACTCGTCTATTGTGGCCGCATATCTATTGAGGCCTCACACATATTGTGGACACACTTTTTATGGCCACATCCTATCGTGGTCACATACTTTTGTTGGCCTCAGACATTTTCTCGCCACAAACCTATTTTGGCCACACATCTCTAGTAACCACACATCTATTGTAGCCACACACCTATTGTGGCCACTTACCTAATGTAGTCATACACTTTTATGGCCACATACATACTGTAGCCACACACCTATTGTAGCCACACATTTGTTGAGGCTACATAAATATTATAGCCACACACCAATTGTGGCTACACACCTATAGTAGCCAAACACATATTGTGACTACATACCTACGTATTGTAGCCATACACTTGTTGTGGCCACATAAATAGTGTAGCAACACACTTATTGTGGCGACACACCTATATGGCCAGACCACTATACACTCATTAGCTTGGAAACACAAAGAGTTTAAGATTGAACTTAGATGAATTTTCAGAGTAAAAAGATGGAAATCGACGGTGTGTTGGCTAGAGACACAAAAAGAGGAGTTGAGCTGGTAAGTTGACGCCTCGAATCCTGAAATATTTTCCTAAAAACCTGGAACCACATAAAAATTGTTAGTTAAATATGATTTCTGGAATACCGTGTAGATGAAGTACACATATTTACTAACCCAATATGAACACCAGGGTAGCATCACAGCAACCAAACCTTCCCGGCCTTTCAGCTTGAGCAGGTAACAGGGTAATCAACGTCACCTAGAACCAAACTGGTTTCTACCTATGGCTTAAGTGCCCATGGAAACTTTTTAGGCATCTCCTACGAGTTACCTTCTCTTGTTGCTTAGGTAGAACTAATGAGGATAATTGTTTTTGCTCCACCCAACGAGCGGCGACGAGGTGGCTACACCAGGTGGTAATAGGTAAAGGGTCACAGCATGATGTTACTAAGAGAAGGGCAAGAGTGCAGGACGCTGCCCGAAGAAGGGTGGGAGAGGAGAAGGGCACAGGGTGAGGTGGTACTTACACTCAACCTTGAACTTAACTGGTTGATGAAACTGTAAACATCTTCACTGAGTGTCATCTGAGGCTGTGTAGGTCTGGGCGATGATACAACGCAGATTAAATTTCTAAAACAAACTTTACTCAAGAGACATCTACCAGCGGGTTGCCCCTCGTGTAACGAGGATGACCGGCCCAAGGGCCACCTTGTCGTGAGCTTGTTTAAGGTGTAGAAGCTGTCGCCAACACAGCAACCACACCCTAAGTTAACGAGTTACGTGACCCAGTGTCAAGGAATAGTCCGAGAAGACCGGACAACTCGTCAACTGCTCTGGCTAGCCATTACCCCGGAACACGATTCGCAGATCGATTAACATCCGGTCCCCAATTACTGCTGGGTAGACAGAGGCAAATGGCGCAAAGAAATTTCCCCATTGTTTCACCCTGCCTGGAGATCGAACCCGGGTCCGCTTGCTTGCGAGGCGAGCATACTGACCATTACACCACAGGTCGCCACAGAATAAACATATCTCTCTTCACACACGCACTTCTTGCAATTAACTCCTTTGCTTTTGAACTTATTAACTTTACTGTGGAGCAATTATGACGAAAAACTGTCTTTACTGAATCTTTTACCGCAGCTGATCAAATGGTGGGGGACTACGGGCTAAAATATATTTGTGCAGTCTTCGATATCTAATGCCAAGAACACTTCTACAATATTCCAAGATAAATTATCAGAAAAAAAGGGAAATATTCTGGATCCTGTTGTAGTGACGAACGAGTAAAATCTCCATATATTATTATTTTTACATATTTACCCATTGTGATGAAGTTATAAGCTGTATTATATTTCATTTTAAATCTCTATGGCCAAATCAATCGAGTTTGCTGGGTAGAAGAGACATAGATGCATAGGACAGATACACAGATAGAGACGCCTTGATGAAATAGTAGTAGTAAACGATGGAGAAGAGAGAGAGAGAGAGAGAGAGAGACAATAACAAGAAAAAATAATGTTATATATCATTTCAGTTATGAAAATGGTAGATGAATAAATAGACAGGAATAAACACATCAATATCATACAATAACCAACTGTAGGTTATAATGTATTACTATACTTTAACAAATAAAACTTTAAGAATTGTATGTAGTCTTGGTTAGTACGTACACTAGTTATCAATAATAAAAAAAATCTAAATTTATAAATCCTTTAAGCAAATCAAATTAGTAGCGAATATAATTGACTGAGATATATGCTTTTCAAGACCAATTATCACAAATATAGACAGATCTTCCAACCGACACACACCAATCACTCAGCCTAACAGCCCATTTCCCTATATAAAGAGTACACATATACCCTGTAGACACTCCATTAAGTAATGTACCGCCTCACTGCTTCCTCAATATGGAATTCTATTGACGTGCCGAGAAAACTATATTAAAAAGAGCCGTTATACGTTCTTCTCATATGATATAAATGAACGTCTATAATATAAGATTTTCAACCTTGTTACCCCTCTTCAAGCCGATGCAATAACGTTAGAATCGTGAATACCGAATTGAATAAGAGCACCTACTTAAGATTTGAAATAACGATCCCTAAGTAAATGGAATTCCTTACCTGACTGGACTATACGGAAGTGGGATAGCAATTCAATCATCAATCACGTGGATGGAAAAGAAGATTAAAGTTGCAGAAGCCGGGAAGGGATGAGAGAGAGAGAGAGAGAGAGAGAGGGAGGATTTAGTGGCCATTTTTACCAGTTCGTTAACAGACACCATAAATGACCTTTCAACTGGAATAAAAGTGTAAATAAAAAGTAATAAGTGGATGGTGTGTCGACGGCTTTCGATTCGCGAATTCACTGTTCAATGAAAAGCTGAAATCACCTGTACATTAATTAAAAGGGATATTGAGTCCCATAGAAAAATAGTGAGAGTGAGAAGACTATTAAGTGAATTGAGGTTCCACATCTCTTTTGTTTCAGCTAGAGTGGTGGTGGCAGTGATGGTGGTGAGAGTGATGATGGTGGTGTTGGTGGTGATAGTGGTGCTGTTGTTGTTGTTGATGTTAATGTTGTTGGTGGTGGTGACGGCGGCGGCGATGGCAGCGGAGAAAAATAATCAGCGAGAGTGATACTGTCAGTCCTCATTACTTCCGAGATGTGAGGTTGGGGTATAAGACACACACACACACACACACACACACACACACACACACACACACACACACACACACACATACAAAATAACACATAGCATATAACCCATACACGCTCACATTCTTCCGGATATTTAATGTCATAAAAATGCCCAGGA